TACTGTTTTTTTTTGAGAATACTTTGTTTTTGGTGTATTTTGTTTTGTTTTTCGTGTATTTTGTTTGGAAGTCGGTTTTGTTTTTTTATTATGTTAATTATTAAGAAGAATTAAACAAAATGCTTTAAAACGCAGGATATCAATGTATTGAACCATAGTCCCTAGTATTAAAATTGCTTTCGGTTCTTTGTTGTAAAAATAAACACAAAGTGCATTTTATAGGTAATAACCTCAACACGGACAAGGCTGCATGCACAGCTGAAACGTAAGGTCGTTGACTTAAACATGATAATGTAAATGTTTGTATTAAGGATTGGTTAGTTGTCCTTGGAAATTATAAAACTTTAATCTTGATTATTGTATGCAATTAATGTTATAATATAAAACTTTAAATGTTATTAAATGCATTATTAATATATACAGTTTTACAAATGGTTGCTAAGATCTTCAGCCAATGTAACATCTTTTAGTTTAAGAGCGCGCGAACTATTTTGAATAAACTATCGCATAACCCTTTAATCTCCCTTTGATTCCTAAAAGCGTATTTATTTATAACATAAGGTTGCAAACGAGCAAGCGGCAACCTGAAACCGCCAAAATGGCGAAGCGACCGCTGCTCATAGACATCCTCAATTGCATATGCGATGCCTACCCTTATACGGCGGAGGAGAAGACCCACATAAGGAGGATATTTCCCCTTCCTATGCATCTCCTCCACCGTCAAAACCATTTCACCTTCGCATTCTCTCCTTATAAAAAAAGGGTGGTAAGCGAAAGGGACTTAAATTAGGCCTCCGGCACCTCACTCAACAGACGAAACAGGGAATTGCTTAAATTTTACGCCTGTCTTCTGTATGGTCGAGGTATTACACCGGGCGTGCCGGCCCTGCAGTGCTAAGATGTTAAAGCGAGCACTACCACTGTATAGAGATGTATACTACTCGATTTTTAGTTGTGCAACTAAACAGTTGAATTGGCTGCGAAACAATCGACAATCGCACAACTGTTGTGCGATAATTAAGTTTAAGCTGTACTTTAAATATACTTAAATGTAGTGTAGAAAATGTTATAAACCTATTGACACAATTCTACAAGAGACCTTAGTTTTACTTACGTTCAAAGAAATAAAAACCGTGTAAAAACGATCGCTGCCGATTATGTATCAAATAGTTCTGTATAATGAGGTTAAATGCAATTTCGTTTAAAACGTGGACTAGTTAAATGTGGACCGACCTTGATGTTGCTGTTTACAAAATTCTATACGATATTTTCAGAAGTTGTAGTTATTAATTTGTAACATACTGTATAGTATAATTAAATGAAAAGAAGAAATTGTATTTACACATTTAACTAAAAGAACATTGATTATAATAATACTAGCTTTTGCCCGCGACTCCGTCGGCGTGGAATTAAAGAAAACAAAACTGAGTAGCCTTTGTTCTTCGAGGCTATCATCTACGTCTATGCCAAATTTCATCGAAATCTGTTCAGCCTTTTAGGCTACAAACTCTAACAAACATCCATCCATTCATCTAAACTTTCGCATTTATAATATTAGTATTAGTATGATTGTTTCTTATTATTCTAATATTAAAAACGCACAATTTCATGTCAAACTCCGTGAACATTACAAACAATGGATTCCATTTTCAAAAATTGAATTAATCTATCGATTAGACATTAACGCGGGAGAATAACCTTAGTTAATTCAATTGACATGGATCTAGGTTGCACAACACTATTTACTATTTATTCTGAATTGAATATGTAATTTCAGTGTCAAAGATTATGTACTAGAACAATATAGAACTGACTTCTTATCAGTTATTAACTATTTCCATTTAAATCTGGCGAATTTTAAAGTTTTATTTATTGTTGACCAAACAGAATAGATGAATAATTCTCTAGTGATAACATTAGGTTCTTTCGGTGGTTAGATTTATATTATCTGTTGTTTTTAACTGAATATATATAGAGTAGTGTAGCGAGGTAAGTGAATGCAGTAAACCAAGAGACAAAGAATATGAGTCCGCTACAAGATATTCGCGCGCGAAATGAACTCGATACTGAAGTTTTGCTGCAACGATTTCTGTATTTCGAAATTGTTAAGATGCAATATCATGTTTGCGTACGCATTCGATTTTGTAAACTGATTAAAATAACTACTTTCATTTAACAAAAACCAACTAAAAACAGCATGAAAGAAAAAAAACAGTTTCAAATAAGCCGTAGAAGACTTTTAGGAATGTAAATAATGGATGGCGCCATCACATATTAGTCATAGTTTGTATGTATGTAGAAACTTCTAACAATTAACTTCCATTTATCGATAACATATGATGGTCTAAATCTAAATAATATAACTAAATAAAAATGTAGTTAATGTAAAAAGTTATTCAGAATTAAGTTTCCTTTTAGCGTAAATAATTGTTGTAAGTTTGTCTTGCCATATGTGTCTACTCAGGAAACCAATATCTCAATCCAAACACAACACTAGCTCCTTTTCACGATTGCTTCCTCCTTTTACCATTTATATAATGTAATAACTATTACTTTATAACTATACTTATGTAACTACTGGTATAGCAAATATAAACATACTTCATCTGCCAAAACACTTATACAAAAACATACAGTCATTACTCTTACTAAAAAAAAGATAAAACTATAATACATTTATTTGGCAGTGCAAATTTATAAGAATAAAACGCAATACTGGCCGAATGCACGCACCGCGACAACACAAAAGAAAAAAATAATTCACGCTCGAAGATGGCAACACTAACGTCAATAAAAACCGATAACAATATCGTTCTCCACGCGGAAAAAGCAAAAACTCACCTTCCCTGAATGCCAGGCGTGTTTTTCAGTCATAACAAATCCAGCATTATCATAGCCACACTTTTCACTGGCGATTTTATTACGACCTACCACTTTGTCTAAGTAACTCATTTTTAACAATTGAATTTAAATAAAATTCTGCACAACTATATAATCGAGAGCCTTCAATGCCTTTACAATACAAACTGAAATAAGAAACGTATGTGCTCGTAACATACAATAATTCGCGTGACGTTTACGTGAAAATATTTTATACTCTGTTGTGTTTTCTGTCGCTGTTTTCCCGCCGAAACATTGACAGCGCGGGAAAACCTCTCCGTCTGTGGCGTCGACTTGTACTGCCGAGAAACCTAAGAGTTAACCCAAATAAATACTAAATAAGTAGACGGAACGGTTTTTGTGCAGTTTTATACAAATAAAATATAAATGGATTGGCGTCTAGTGGAGCCTATTTTTATAACCTTACCCTTATATTATCTTTACGAAACGATACGATTTAAGATGTCATTTAAGTTAAAATTATGATAATAATAATGAATTAAGCATAAAAACATTTTTTAGTCTGTTTCAATTAAAAAGGACGCAAAAACAAAACATTTAAATAATTTCAGATCGTTCGACCTTTATTTTTTTTGTTTTACGAATTACCAACCATGAGCAATAAACTTCACGGTCTCTTTTACAGATTCTCTTGACGATGTTGCCAATATATACGTAATTACTTCTTATAAACATTTGGATAACGCCTTACATAGTTTTTATAAGACGTTGCTCGTGCCATTATGAAAATTATGAATAGTGGATGAATGGATGGATGTTTGTTAGAGTTTGTAGCCTTACCGGCTAAACGTATTTCTAAGAAATTTGTTACAGATGTAGAGGATAGTCTGGAAGAACACATAGGCTACATACTTTTGTTTTTTTTTATTCCCACGCAGGAGTCGCGGCCGAAAGCTAGGCTTTTATAAATGTTTTTCTCGCGTGTCAAATTAGAGCAAATTTCTTATATCAAGAACTGGTTAAATAATTATAATTTTAACATCGAACTTGTTGAGAAATTGCCTACAGTCAATTATAAAATTAATCCTGCGAGTAATGTATGTCACAAAACGACCGGTTATAATTAGTATATGAAATAGTCATTTTGAAAGTTCAATCCACTATTAATCTAACTAATATTATAAATGCGAGAGTTAAGATAGATGGATGGATGTTTGTTAGAGTTTGTAGCCTAAACGGCTGAACGGATCTAGATGTGGTATTATAGAGCAAAATCTGGAAGAACACATAGGCTACACACTTTTGTTTTTTTTAATACCACGCGGACGGAGTCGCTGGTGACAGTTAGTTGCATTTTAAATGCAAAATCGTGTTTGAATGATCATATCTCGATAAATGCAAAGTCTGTGGACTAATGTTTACACTTCATTATGTTGTACTATTTCATTGTCGAATAGTCGGAATGTATAGTTCAAATAGTGCAGTAAAAACTGAAGTTTTCATAGGAATATATTGATACACGGTGTAGTTTAGAAAATTGTACATGAACAATTACAATAACGTTTCTTTAAAGACGTAACAAAACAAACATTTGTTTGTCTAGAAATGATTCATGTTCAACAAAGGAATCAACTTTATATGTGAAAGTGGAAATGTCTGCAGAAATATACATAAAAGCCGTATAAAACTCTCAGAATTTTAAACGTAATATAACTAACGAATTATTTTTTTAAAATAGAGATTGAAGACAAGCTGTTACATTTTACAAAACGTAGTTTTACAATAATAGGAAGCTTATAAAGTCGTAGGCTTGAATCCGTCTAGCGGTAATGTGTGAATTGCTAAACAAATGAATGGATGAATAATATTTGTTATTACCTTTTAAGTAAATCGCAAATTTTGTAAACATCTTCCAATAAATGTGACCCTCCTCAGTAAATATCTATGTTGCGATGTCATTGGCTTATTAAAACAGTACAGTATTAAAGAAAGTTCACTGTTTTTGAAGATAAAAAAGCTTGACCGAACGTCATTACAGGCCTTTGCATTTATTAAAAAAAAACAGTAAAGTTTTTCCTAAAGTAAAATGACCGTGGCCAAGTCAAAAGTAGTTCGAAAAAAGGATGTTCATATATTTTGATATGCACAATTTTTCGAGGATTTTTCTGATATGTTCGTGAAAAAGCTGAACAAATAATATATAATAATTTGTGACGTCATCACACGGAACTAATAAAAATATAATTTACTCTGATGCGAACAGACATTTATGTTGTAAACATGAAAATAGGATAAAAAAGGATGAAGACAATATACATCATTGGTACAGTGGTAAAGCCCGCTTTAACATCTTCGCACGAATGGGCCGGCTCTCCCGGTGTAATACCACGACCATACAGAAAACAGGCGTGAAGTGGAAGCAATTCCGCGTTTCGTCTGATGAGTGTGGTGCCGGAGGCCTAATTTTAGTCCCTTTTCCTTTTCACCCTTTTCTTAAGAGGAAATGGTGGGAAGGAAAAGTGGATGTGATGATGGAGGAGACGCATAGGAAGGGGAAATGTCCTCTTTATGTGCGTCTCCTCCTCCGTCAATTAAGGGTAGGCAACGCATCTGCAATTGCGGATGTTTATGGCAGCGGTTGCTTTCCATTTCGATGGATTCAGGTGGCCGCTTGCTCGTTTGCCACCTTATATTATAAAAAAAAAGTATTTTGAATTAGGAACCAATGTTACAGTTCAATAACCTACTAAACATAACCTAAACCAGCTTTCAACACATAACATTACTTTGCTTATTATAAACCGTTACAACTATCATTTCATTTTTTATAAAGCATCAATAGATTGTTCTTGAAACAATTTCGCGTAGTTAACTATTAACGTTCATTAATCATGGATGTTATTCATTAGGAGGCAGTGCCGGTGGCCGTTATTTAACACCGTTAGAAACTCAGACAAGGGGGGAAATCTGTTGCAGATACGCGAGATGTAAATAGGGCTGACAACTTTTAAAAAGTCATAAAACTGGCGGCATAGAAAAAACGACACTTGACGGACAATGAAAAACAAAATAAACATCTATCCTGAATCACTGATCTCTATAGATACGTTCAATTTATATCCGACGGTTAATTACGGCTATCGACCGCATCTTTCAGCGCCAAAATGCCGAAGATCAATTACAAGCATCATGGTTTATGTCCTATCTATCTATAGTGGTATGTGACCTTTAATACTTAGAGAACATCTAGTAAATACACAAAATGAAGTGACGACATCGATATAAAGATGCATCAGAGAAATTCGAAGTGCAAACCCTCGATGTATTGCGAAGAGAAATTCTGCAATATTAGCTTTATAGATTTTCACTAGTAAACTGGCTGCGTACCTACTTTGTGACAAGTTTACATATAAATCTTGATCGACCAGCTATTTGTTTATTTGACTTTTCAGTGCAGAAATTAAAAACAAGAAGTGCCAAACCAAAATCACTCATACGTCATCTTGAAATTATCTTTTTTTATAATATAATATGGCAAACGTGCAAGAGGCCACCTGAATCCACTGAAATGGAAAACGACCGCTGCCCATAAACATCCGCAATTGCAGATGCCTTGCTTACCGTAATTGACGGAGAAGAAGACGCACATAAAGAGGACATTTCCCCTTCCTATGCGTCCTGTTAAATCCACTTTTCCTTCCCATCCTCTCCTCTTAAGAAAAGGGCGGAAAGGGAAAGGGACTAAAATTAGGCCTCCGGCACCACACTCATCAGACGAAACGCGGAATTGCTTCCACTTCACGCCTGTTTTCTTTGTGGTCGTGGTATTGCACCGGGCGAGCCGGCCCATTCGTGCGAAGATGTTAAAGCGGGCTCTACCGCTGCTGCTTCCAAATTACTTTATTAATGTTATAAATGCGAAAACTGCTGAACGGATCTCGATACATATACATACTATGAATTTTTTCATAGATGTAGAACATATTTTCACGAAGAACACATATGGTAGTCTTACTTTTTTAATTATTTATTTCCACGCGAACGGAATCGCGAACTAAAGCTAGTCTACTATGATTCCCTAATATCCCTTAGTTACTTACATTTGTGTATTATTTACCATTTAAAACCTGCTGTACAAATGTAAAAAATAAAATAATGTTTTTATAAATCCACGCGGATGAAGCCGCACGGGAACAGCTAGTTTTACTCGTATATACAGACTGAGTTCAAGAGAGCAATACAAGATGAGATACATCCGTTGTCAAGTCTGACGTTTCCTGTCACGTTGGCTGGACAATGCAGCTTCTCAGTACAAACATATACTGTTTGACTATTGACTTTTCATGATAACCTTATTAAATAATATATTGTTATAGTTCTAGTTGTTAACCACGAATCCGTCCGCGCGGGAAAATAGCTTAATAGCCTATCTGCTCTTCCAGCCTTTTACATCTGTGTCAGAGTACGTTGAACCGTTCTGCCTCTTTACACAAAGTAACATTCGATTGTCGCTAACGCTAATCGAAAAGTCAAAAATGATAAGGTACATGAATCTAAAAACAAAGAACATGTAGACAAATTCAGAACCAACTTATGGAATTTGATAAAAGCCAAAATTTACCACGAGAGAGGTGACCATAAATCATGCTCGTGACCAAGGTAAACAATGAAAATTAAGGACAGTCTTAGTACACTCGCTACCACATACATAAAAGAGATTTTTCTTACATGCCATTGATGTAATTGACGTAAATCTAGGACGACCTCTACCAAGGTTAACTTCACTTGTTATTTGCTTCAAAGCGGTAATAACCAAAATCGCATTGGCGTATTTAACGATTATGATGTAACAATGTTGATTGTTACATTTTAATCGTATAGTGTTAAAATTAATACGATTGGTTTATGCAAAGAACGTAAAAGGACTGGAACATTTCAAGGGCTTATCGATTACTAGCTGTTGCTCGCGACCTCGTCCACGTGAAATTAAAAAATAACTAATATAAAAGATATCCTATGTTACTCACTGACAACGTAGCTTTTTAATGTTGAAATTTTTATTTAAATCAGCCCAGTAATTTTTGAGCTATTACATTACAAACAAACATGTTTTCCTTTTTAAATTATTAGTATAGATTTAACAAGATTACTTATACACAGTCAATAATGTCCGCTGCTATGTTAAAACCTTCCAAAGTCTTTCCATATATTTATTTATATTGAAACATCGCCATCGGAAACCCTCAGTTTAAAAAGCGTCATCTTCATTTATTCCACTGCGAATAACAAGTGCAAATAATTGTAAAAATATATGTTCTAAGATGTATTTGCGTATTCCAT